TCCGGACACGCCAACACAGTGCTGTTCCTTTCTGTTTTAACAGAAAAGATGTAACTAATTAGCTTTATATTTAATGACATATATTATACATTATTAAAAATATATTTGACGAAATCAACTATTCAATAAAGCATTTTTATTACTTCCTCGTAAACGATTACGTGGTTTTATTTTAATTAAATGATATGTACTTTATATGATGTGTACTTTTCTTTGGACTTCGGTAGCGGTTACCTTGTACCCCATTTCAGACATATGTTTGGCCATATCCTTAAATATGTGGCCATTTCAATTAGAAGGTTTTCGCCGCCCTCAGTCCAAGCATTTCGGCACCTGTTAATTGTTTTTACCTAAAATTAATAATTCTGTTTTAATTACATACCATTTATAACTGCACAATACTAACCTGGGAATTCTCACTCATTGTTATAACCTGAAATAAATATTTTTTGTTAAATATTATATGATATTTTATAATTATATCAAATATATACTTGATAAATAAACTTATTTTTATATTTTTATGTATTAAGTATATATTTTATTTATAATAAACAAATATTTAAAAAAATTCTTACCTGTTGTTATTAGTTTTGAATTTTGAGTGTTTGTTTATGGTTTGTTTCATGTGTCAAATGTTTCAAATTCCGATAATTTCCAATGTTGCATTCGTCATTTTTGGTATAATTTTGGTCGAATTTTGCTTACTATATGCTATAGTAAGTAAAAAAGCACAGAAGCTATTTGTATGGTAAATGAAATTTACTCAGTACGATAAGCTTGCTAAGTACGTAGTGGAAATGGCCTATAAAGAATTAAAAAAAAAAGCGATTTACCTTTTTCCATCCCTGGATATCTTTGCTAGGTGGACCATGGCTGTTTAGCTCTCCTGCCAGTTCTGCCCATAGTTGCTCCGTGGCCACTTTGTCGCCTTTGACAAAGCCAGTTGCAATTTCCTTATGCATCTCCATAAATCTTAGCAAGATTCCATCTTGCACAGTGCTCTTGTGTTTACCCCTTCAAAATAAAATATCAAAATTATTATTTTCTTTATTTACATAACTTGAAACTGATTTAATTCAAAAAAAATGTAATTATACTTACATGTTATTTTCACCACTTTTAAATTCACAACTATTTCGATATGTGGTTTTAATCACATGTTTTTATGCGAATTCGATTTCTAGAGCAAGCAAATTCATTCGATTTCATTTGTGAAATCGCAAATGAATCGATAAAAGCAGAGCACCAAAATGTGATTTTAAATTGAAATCGAATTTTTTTATGCGGATTCGAATTCTGGAGCATGCCAGAATGTTAGAGTCTTCAAGCTATCCATTAGTTCATCTCTACGCGTTTGTTCGCCATAATGTTTTTTTAATATATTTCATAGTTCCGACCATGTTGTTACTCGTTCACTATGCAAGATGCTTCTTGTTTGTCCTGTACATTTATTTTTTAAAAATTCGAATGCTATTTTCTTATTATTTTCTGCTAAACTATTAAGCAAGGTGTTATATCTGTATAATTTCGATATTTATTTATACAAAAAACTCCTAGTTATTATTATTTCACAAGTTACCAAAAACTGAACAAAACTAAAATGTTAATTCTTCTTTATATGTCATCTGTCATTGTTGGCAGGGTTGCCAACACAAGGGAATGAATGATTGTATTTGTTGAATGAAATCTGGTAATTGGTTCCTGTCCGTCCCGTCGAAATCGTTTACGTTTCGAATTAATTGGAGTACATTATTCAGGGTATCTAGAGCCATTTTACTAGTTTAGAATATTGTAATTATTTTTACAAGAAATCAAAATGTCACAGAGACAAAGAAATAATCAAAAATTTTAACAGACAAAGATGCAATTTCAGATTCAAAGTCATATGTTTATTATAATTACATTTATTTAGAATAAGGTTTAGAATAAGTTTGATATAAGTTTATGTTAAATATGAAAATATAAATATTATATAAAAAAAAATAATAAAATTTCTGACTTCCCTTTTTGGTCCGTTTATTTTGTTGTTGGTTGGTTGATTGTTGTTATTTGTTGCTGGTTCTGATATATTTTTTTTTCTGGTTTGCTATTTTTTTTGGCAGTCTTTGGTGTTGTGTGTATTATTTCGGCACTTGTCACAATATTTTAGTTTTTCATAACCTTTTGATTTATTTATGAGATTTTTTATTGAGTTCATTTAGATGTTATAGTTCAACACTTAAAATTTTTATTTTTATTGTTTCTAGTGATCCTTTGGATACAATTATTATATATTTTTAATAATACCCGTTTTTTTTCATATAGGCGATGGCTTTTTTGCCTTCTTCACTATTGTCATAATCGTTACAAAACTTACGCCACTCTTCGCGTTGTTTTTGTTCGTATTTCTTTATGAACTTTGCACTATTTATTTTTTGGTTAATCTCTCTGCTTTTTCGAATGAGGTTTTTAATGGTGTTCATTTGGATACTTTTTACACAAATTTTAGCTAAATAATTTGTTTTATAGTGAACTAAAAAATTTTCTCGTAAATAGTTCAAACACGTTTCATAAACTTTAGTTCAGTTTTTTTGAATTTTAATTTTAATATTCTTTTTAATAGAATATTTCGCTTGAATTCGATTTTTTCTCCTTTTATTAGGATACTTATTTTATGTTTAACAGAATTCACTTTTTATACTTTTGAATTTTAATTTTAATATTCTTTTCAATAGAATACTTTTTCACTTTTGAATTTGGTTAAATTTTTCTCCATTTATTAGGATACTTATTTTTATGTTTTAACACAATCACTAATTATTTTTTTTTAGTGTTTATTAATATATTAAAACAATCTTCTTTTTTTTAAAAAAAAGAATAACCTTGCTCTGCTACCAATTAATTTTATTAATACTCTAAAGAGTTTTTTAAAAAATGTCGACTTTATTAATTCATCGTTTCTTAAAAACTAAAAATACAGTTTTTAAATTTTCTTATCCTAAGCCAATTGTATATATTATTTTAAAGTGCTTAGCTACAGTACAGTTTGTAGCTTAGCAAAACTACATGTTTTTGTTTATAATAAAAAGTATAATTTATGGAGCTAAGAAATTTGTATATATGATCTGCTCTTGAGCCTTAAACTCTTGATGCAGCTGTGTAAATAAAAGAATAAAGAATGTGCTGTATCAGCTATGTACTATTTGTAACGGAATTTTCAGATACATCAATGTATATTTGAGGTACTTAACTTACATACCTAATGTTCTTACTAGTTTCTTAATAATTTTGGCTTCAACATTCTTCGGTTGATTATTATATGTTAAAGTACACTTCTGCTAAACTGCGGGACCGTAATCAGCCAAAGATTGAAATTTTTCGAGTGTACCTTTGTATCCTGTCGTTGCACAGTGTAACGTGTTCATATAACAAGCGGACAAAAATAGTAAATGTTATGCTATTTTCATGAAATTTTGCATAAAGACTTATATTAAGGATAATAAAAAGTTTCTGAAAAATGGGCATGGTCCGCCTATTTTTACGCCCACCTGCCATACAAAGTGAATGATCAAAATGCGCAAATTGGATACAATTTCAATGAAATTTTGCAGGAATATGTGTTTTTATAATATGACAATATTTCTGAAAAATGGGCGGGATCCGCCCATTCTTACGCCCACATGTCATACAAAGTGAATGATCAAAATGCACAAATTGGATTCAATTTCAATGAAATTTTAGACAAATAAATGTTTTTAAAATGTTAACATATTTCTAAAAAATGGGCGTGGTCCCATTTTTAGTTTTACTGAAATTTAATGCAAAAATAATATTTATAAAAAAGTATCTGAAAAATTAGCATAAAATTCCTTCTTCTAAACCAACTACTTACAAATATAAAGCGTATAAAAAAGAGTTGTTTCAAATAATATATTACTTATAACAAGTTTCATGAGTTTTCATAATATATACATATATCATATACTCGTATTTCAATTACTTTATTCGCTTTCATCAGAGGTGTCACTGAATGTAATATTTTCTATATCAAATTCGGAACCGGAGCAATCTACGCTCTCTTCAATCAAATATTCCGCCATGTCATCATAGGCATGTGATTGCCTTCGCATTTGTTTCCTTTGCGAAGATATAAGTGGTTCCGAAGCTAATAATAAATGATTTAAAAGATCTTTATTCGATGAAACTCTTGATGATTTTCTAGTGTGGTTTAATCGGTGTTTTCGAAATTCTTTATGACTTGCTTCTATTGCATCTTCGGATAGAAGGCCAATTGGTATATTGAAATGTTGTATAACTTCACATCCATGAATCAGTATTTTATGTAAAGTTGCTGGCATATTGTACCATGAGTAATGTACTATGTAAATTTCCTGAGTTTTTTGTAGAAGATCTTTAAATGTTAACAAATTTATGGTTTTATCACTTGATAAAATGCATAAAATTATGTACAAATTTTTTATAAACTCTGTGTTAACTCCAGTAATACTAGAAGCTAATTCAAATTTAGAGAAAAATTTTTTAGCTGTGTTTCCATCATTTGATGTTCCGTAGCCTGTTTTGACTCTATCTACAATTAATCCCATTCTATTTCGTAATTCTAATTGAATTTCTTTTTTTATTTTTATTAAAAATTTCTTTTGCTTCATCAGTAGTAACTCTCCAGCACCCTAAAGGTATTCTATAAGCAATTTTTAATACACACTCAAAACTTCTTATCCAGGCATGCAACGTTGATAATCCATACTGAAGATTTAATTCATTTGGTGGGCTTGTAATTGCAGTTAAAATATTCATTTTTGAAGGGGTGGCATTGCAAAGATAACAAGTACTACAAGATCTATTTTCAGTTAATACATTTACGA